ATAGATAGATAGATAGATAGATAGATAGATAGATAGATAGATAGATAATCTTCAGGTGAAGAACTCTTAAAATAAGCACCTTGTTAGGTATTTACCCTGAAAATCACAATGACCCTTATATCATTCAGATTATTCAAAACTGATTACAATGAACTTTCCTTACCCTGGAGCTCATTCCCAAAGTGTTAGACTACAGAGCCTATCTTCCCCTTCACCTCTGTGTGGCTGGGGTGATGGAAGTGCATTCAGAGTTAAGGAAGATGGCATAGATACGAGAAGTGGAGCATCATAAGTGAGACACATGTTCTCAAAAATTTCTCCCAAAATTCTGAGCACATTTAATTTCCAGCAACTAGAGAAAATCCAGTGAAACTTAGTTTTGAATATCATCTCTTTTTTAAAAACCCATCTAGGTCTCCAGATGCTCCTCTAAACAAAAGATGGCTAAGATCCTATGAAGAAAGGAAACATGCAGATGATAGCATTAGGTCACTGTTTTTGATGTAGGTCACTATTTTTCAGTGTGCTGAAAAGCTTCCAGAGGGTGACCGAGACTTTCATGTTGATAATTAGTGATTTGTCACAGTGGTTATGTGCCAGTTCAGGGTGAATCTGCTTCTCCAAGAGGCTCACTTGGTTCATCACACTTGACATCATGTAAGAGAACATTTCTTTATTTGATTTCACAATTAACATAGCACATTAGGTGTGATTTGCTGCTGTCCATTTTAAATGCTGAAAATGCAAACTTTCCCCATCGGGAAAGGATAATATAAAAGAGAAAGAAAGAGAGAGAGAGAGAGAGAAGGAAGGAAGGAAGGAAGGAAGGAAGGAAGGAAGGAAGGAAGGAAGGAAGGAAGGAAGGAAGAAAAGAAAGAAAGAAAGAAAGGAAGGAAGGAAGGAAGGAAGGAAGGAAGAAAGGAAGGAAGGAAGGAAGGAAGGAAGGAAGGAAGGAAGGAAGGAAGGAAGGAAGGAAGGAAGGAAGGAGGAAAAAGACTTACCAGCCCATCACAATTGCTGATAGCAACAGAAGCATTAGGCAAGTCCGTGATATGCCCCACATAGAGGCAATCCCCATGAAGCGGCTCAGTGTAGGTGATGTTTGAATCCTCCTGCCATTCCACAGTTGCTCCAGGAGCCACCAGCCGGGAATTTGGCCTTAATCTAAAGTGGAATTCTTGTCCAAAAACAGTGACATTGTAAAAAATTTCCTTGCCTGCAGCGTCCTGAGGAAGATCCCTGGTGTCTCTTGGGAAACGCCTCTTTGATGCTCCCGACACGACTTTGGAGACGAATCTGCCTTTTGAGTCTGTGCTAGTTGGGATGACCAGCCTGTATTCCTCTAGATTTCTCAAAATAGAATCTAGAGAGGGAGAGAGAGAAAAAACCATGAGTAATAAGAGTCAGGCTGAATAAGGCTACCACTGGCCGGGACATCTACTTCATTGGTCCCCCGAGGTTAAGGAAAGGAAAATGCTAAGGCAGTCGCGCTGTGCCTTAGTTTTCCAGTTGTTTTATTAAGAAAGCCCCGATGGTAGGCATGGCAAGTATTTAGGGGTGGGCAGGGTTTAGGATGCAGCCCCCTCTGCCACTGAGCAAGAGGGACTAGAAACATCCCACAGCTGAACAAATCCATCTGAAGTGATGAGGCTTCTGAAAGCCATCTGCTTTAGGATATGGGGGGGGGGAGCGGGGTGGCAAACACCTCGCATCAACTTTCAAACTCTGCCACCAGCCCTACTGCTCAAAGTTTCGATCATTCCCGAACGTGAAGGATGGGGATGTCGATGGAAAAGTTTTTAAAAAGACAAGACAAGCCAAAAGAAAAGAGCCGTCCACTACAAGTTGGCTTCGCTTCCTTCCTTCCAGCAACACAGATGGAAGGAAAACTTCGTCCCTGCCAGGTGGTTTGTTGGAGGCCGGCGCTTCGACGGGCGTCCGAGTTCAACCGAGGTCCCAGCCAGCCTCCCCGATTTGCAGCTGCAAGGCACCCCCGCCAGCTCAGCAAGGATCGAAGAAGGTACACCCCCACCCTCCGGAAAACAACGCCACACGTGGCGGCGGGGAGGACGCCCCGGCCCTTTGAGCCAAGCAAGCCGGCGTGGCGCGGAGAAGTCTAGCGGGCAAAAAGTCCTCCACTCGTGAGTGAAGTTAGACAGGCAGCCTCAAGGGGAGGCGGGCGAAGAAGGGGCGTCTGGCTAATCCCAGCCGGCCGGTTGGGGCAGTTTAAGCCGAGGGAACCCGGCAGCCCGCTTACCGTTCTCCCCGGGACTCCGCGGGGCCCCCGGGGCCAAAAGGAGCATCCAGCAGGCGAGAAGAAGCAAGGCGATCCCGGCCAGAGGAGCCATGGCAGGCGTAGCTCAGCCCAACCCCAGCCTTCAACTTCGCTGCCAGGGGGCTCCGGCCACATTGAAGGCAGCCGGCACCGCCCTCTAGCCCACCACCCAGGCAACCTCAGCCCCGCGGCTCCTTGCCCTGGCTCATCCGCTCCTCTCCAGCGCTCAACCTCGACGAAGGCAGCAGAGAGACACCAGCAGGCGGCTTGCTGGAAAGCACGGGGCGTGCAAGGAGGGAAGTCCGCCTGATTGACAGAACTGCCGCCGCTGCTGCTGCTGCCGCTGCTGCTGCCGCTGCCACCGCTGCCTGCGAGCCTGCCAAGGCCTCGCCTCGCCCGGCCCGGCTCGGCTCGGTTCGGTTCGGCTTGGCTTGGCTTGGCTTGGTGGCAGTTGTCCCTGAAACTCTCGCAGCCTCCTCTTGCTGCCGCTCGAGACAAAAACTCTGCAGCTTCCTCCGGTTACGGGACACTTTTCCCCAGCCCAGCTAAGAGGCGGTTCCTGAGGGACCCTGAGCATTTCCCTCCACCCAACGCTCAAAATCCTCCTCTTCTTAGAAAGAGAACCAGAAGGGGAGATCGCACCAGACAGAAACCCGCAGATGCTTGATTTGGAATCGGTCGGGGATCTTCTGCCCCCCTCCCGCAAAAAAGATCTCGTACCGTACCTTGAATTCTCCTAACTTAGGAAGGAGAGTGGTCGTCTGATATCCCACCCCCCAAGTCTAATTAAAGACGGCTTTTGCTTTCGGTGTGTGTGTCCACGTAGCACGTTGTGATAGCATGGTATCCACTCCAGAATCGGTAGAATCGGATCCTTCCGGATCAAAATGTGATTGCTAGATTATACTTAAGCCTCCCCTCTGGCTTCACTAAAAATTCCTGGATTTTTCTCATCTTGGTTATCATAAAATCTAGATGGAAATGTTACCATATCCTAATGACTTTTGCATCCCTGCCTTGTATTTGAACTCGACTCCTTGTTTTAGTTTAAGAACTCCAAAATGCATTTATTTATTTTAAAAGTCACTTACAAGGAGTAAGTGACCCTATTAGTTTTTCATATGATGTTGTTACATCTAAAAATTATATGTAACGCTTAACGGTGGTTAAAAATGGTTAAGGTGGTTAAGGAATTGGGAAGATACAGGTTCAAATCCATCCTCAGGGAAGATTCAGGTTCAAGTCTGGGTGACTTTAGGACAGTCACTCTCCAACTACTTCACAATGTTGTGAGAGAAATTGGAGGAAGGAATCCAATACACATATGTGTATTCCACTGTTGCTTCTATGTAGAGCAAAGGTGAGATGTAAATATTTTAAATAAATCTATCTTGTCCCCCACATTCCAAATGGTTTACATAAATACAATAAAATAATAAAGCACACACACATAATTAAAACATAAATGACATCCATTAAAAGCTTTTAAGTGGAAAAATGACCTGTGACACATGACTCTACTGAAGTGCCAGATCTTTTGAATCCTTATGAAATGAAGTGGGTATGGAGGCCCTAAGAGTTCTGGGAAGAAACCTATTTCCATATCCATCTTTACTTGATCTCACAGAGGAAAGAAAACCTGAGAATGCCCTTGTGGGCCAATGGAACAGGATGGGTGGCTTCTCTCTGGGGAAAACAGTCCTCAAGTATCCAGGATGCATGCCATGTAGGTTTGAATTGTTCCTAGGAACATACTGACAGTCAATGCAATATCCATAATATTGGCTTTCACGTGCCAATGTGCAGGGGGCTACATTTTGCACAAGCAGAAGTAGCCAAATTGACTTCTAGAGTAGCAAGTAGAGCACACATTGCCATAATCCAGTCAGGAAACAATAAGGGCATGAGTTAAGGCTATTAAGACCTCCTACTTTAAACAGGACTCATACTGCTAGACTAACCAAAGCTGGTTGAAGGCCCCTGACCATAGACTCTACCTCAGGGATGGGATCCGGCAGGGTTAACTACCACTTTGGTCATTTACGAGGTTCGGTGATTTACAATGTGCTTCTCTGCTCGCTGCCAGCGCGAGCCTATAAATCGTCATCAGCATGCTGCATGCAGAGAAGCAGCCTTTCAAAAAGCCCTTTTTTCCTGCTTTTTTAACCGCAGCTGTGCCTCGCATGGCAGCTGAAGTTGAAAAAAATCAGGAAATAAAGGTCAGGTAAGAGCCCAGGTGGGCGGCTGGGCAAAAACATCAGCAGACATAGAACCGGTTCTATGTCTGCTGCTCTTCAGAGCTACCAGTTCTACAGAGGTGGACAGAACCGGTAGAAACCCACCCCTGCTCTACCTGCTATTCTAGCAATAGCCATGAATCCAGGACAACTCCTTTGTCACATATCTACTACTTCAAAGATAGTGTCACTCTGTTCAGAGCTAGCAAGGAACCATCAAAAAAATCTAAAATACTTCGAACAAACAGGCTCAGTCTTGCTGGAATGCAACTTCAGTTTCATTCATCTCCTCTAGATCTCAACAACCTCCACTGACTCTATACATACATAGAAAAAAAAAACTCTGATTTGACAAATAGAACTTTTGCTTGTACAGTACATAATTTTAAATCATACCACTTCACTAATGTATTGTAGATATGGAGTCCAGAATAAGACTTCTCGATTATCTAAAATGGTATAGGTTCTCCTGCTTGAGCAGGAGGCTGGACTAGAAGACCTCCAAGGTCCCTTCCAGCTTATTCATTCTATGCTATGTTTAACAATTAGTTGAATGTGTTTGTTTCAGTTCCTCTCTTGACCCACATTCTGACAGCATTATCCATCCCCTGAATCCACTTGCCCACCTCACATCTCACAGGCCACCTGGAAGTTATCCTGAAGATCTGGTGGGTAGTTCAGCTATAGCCTTGTTGGCTGACTGGAATGAGCAGATGAGGGCTTTAGATCAGATTTCTCCGAGATGGCCTCCCACTAGGATCTCTTTGATCTCTTTGTTGGCTCTTTGAAGAAGATCAGGAAATGAAACACCAGAGAGTGACCTAGAACACAGTTGGAGAAAGACAAAGAGGGAACCTAACCAAACATGAGCAAAAGCTCATATTATCATTGGTAATTAAAATTGCAAAATAATATCTCATTATCTAGACCCCTTTTAGACAGACATCAAGCCAGGATATAGTTCTCAAACAGCATCAGTCATGCCACTGGTTTGTTTAATCAATTTCTATGGCTGCCCATCTTGCAGATGCAATTCTGGACAACTAACCTTAGAAACAATATCAAAAAATATATAAAAAACTTAGAATCCAGTAAACACTCAACAGCTCTTTGAGGTAGTACAGACAAGACTCCTCAATGCATTATTCCCCTCCTTTAGTTTTATCTTTCAGAAAATTAGGAAAGGTCTCTTCAGAGAAGCTTCCCGTGCCCTTTTTCTTCTGTGGGCTGAGATATCTTTTACATGATAGTTGTCTGCAATTCTTCCTGCTGTCTCCCAAGGTCATCCCCACATACTATTACAAGTAATAACATCTCATGGGCAATCTAACCTACCAATCCTCAATCCCTGGAGCACGTTCAGATCTTCAGTGCTTTGCAAGAGGCTATCAGGGTCAGGTCTATTTATTCATTTCATTAAATGTATTCTAGCTGCCCATTCCAACAGACATTTAACCTCAGAGGGTAAGATGTTCCAGAGCAGGGGTCTCCAACCTTGGCAACTTTAAGCCTGGTGGACTTCAACTCCCAGAATCCCCCAGCCAGCTTTGCTGCCAAGGTTGGAGACCCCTGTTCCAGAGGACAGATGCAGCAATACATTGATGAGAACTATCAGAGTTCGGAGTCTTGGGACAGAGGTAATATAAATACCTTGGTTCTTCTTGATCTCTCAAATCTTTCTGTTCCATCAAAAACAATATATTTCTGACCCATGGAATTAGGAGTGGGAGGCACAACGCTGGGGCGATTCTATGCCTTTCTCTGTGGTCAGGTGTAGCCAATATTGACAGGAAGGAAGTGATCAGATCTGAAACATTCAGCATTCTCTCCCCTTCCATTTAGCATCTACATGGTACAATCATCCATCATTTGGGCTCAAATATTATCAATGTGTGGATGATACCCAATTGTACATCTCAATCCCACAAACAAGCAAGCAAGCACTGAAAGTAGTGGTGCCAAATTTTGGAGTGTTTGGAAAAACTGTAAATTTACAGGCAACTTTAATAACCCAGAGAAGGACAGGGTTTTTTTTAAAAAAAATATCCCTGTAAAGAAAAAGACAAACGTAAAGAGAGTAGATGGGTGAGAAGAATAACACAGTTCAATGAAAAGAAGGACTGGGTGTGACATGATAGCAGTCTTCCAATATCTCAGGGGTTGCCACAAAGCACTTGAAGACAGAGCAAGAAGCAATAGATGGAAACTAACCAAGGAGAGAAGCAATCTAGAACTAAGGAGGAATGTCCTGATAGAACAATCAGTGGAACCACTTGCCTCCAGAAGTTGTAAATGTTCCAACACTGGAAGTTTTTAAGAAGAGATTGGATAACCATCTGTGTGAAATGGTATAGAGTTTCCTACCTGAGCAGGGGTTGGACTAAAAGACCTCCAAGGTCCCTTCCAACTCTGTTATTCTATTCTATTCTATTCTATTCTATTCTATTCTATTCTATTCTATTCTATTCTATTCTATTCTATTCTATTCTATTCTATCAAGTAGGCAACAATTCAGAGATCATCAGGCCTGAAAGAGAAATACATTGTGAAGAGCCATAAATATTAAGTGTGAGTAGATATTAATTTCTTTAAGTTAATAAGCTCCATCTGGGAAATCAGCATTCTTTAAATATCACTTGTGGCACCAAGAAGCCTACCATGGATCCGTATAAACTGGAATTATCCACCCCCTTTTTATGCAGCTTCCATCTGGTTTCAGCTTAGAGGGTTCACCAGTGTTTAAATAATCCTGACCATTTTCCTTCAACTCTGCAGTTTTCTGTCCCAATATCTATTCTGTACAACTGTTGAGGCTCAGAGAAACACACAGACATATTCAGACAATAATCATGTCCTCCCATGGCTATGCTGTGGTGGTGGTTTTCCGTGCTGTTGCTATGCTTTATTGTTCCAGCTCCT